GGGGGAAATGAGCAAATGATATGAGGGCTAAAATGGAGAGCAAATGTTTTGAGATTGATGAGGGCAATGGGTGTACATAGGTGCTTGACTCAGTGGATGTATGTATGGACTGTGAGAAATATACGAGCCCTCAGTAAAATAAAAAAATAAAAGAGTTGCACGAGCCCCCAATAAATGATTTAAAAAAAAAAAAAGATTGAGTCTTGAGCAGATACCAAGGGCTCAAACAGACCAAAAATGTTTTGGAAATGATGATGGCAACATATGTACAAATTCGCTTGATGCAATTGACATGTGGATTGTTATTAGAGTTTTATGAGTCCCCATTAAAATGATTTATCAAAATTAAAAAATAAAATAAATGTTTTTTAAAAGATGGAAAAAATGTAATATTGGGGCAAATAATCATAAGCCAGTAGGATATAAATCTCATGATTTCAGACAATTATGAATAACTATATATAATGCAATAGACTCAAAGGCAGTGCATTAATATATATATATATTTTTTCTCTTTCTCTCTTTAAACTAAAGATGTGATTAATAAATGATGTGTTCCTTGTTAAAAAAATATGCATGCCATTCATATGTATATGCACATATGTAGTGTGTGTGTTGAAGAATCACGTTGTTCTTGTTGAATGGGAAAACAAAGAAGTCATACATTTTGTTCCCTCCAATCCACCTTGCTTCCATGACTTAGAAGGTCAACCATTCTTTTCAACAACAAACGGTAGAACCTACCTCTCACATCACTTGCTTGGAGTGACGACTCCCTGAGAGATTCCACAGTGGTGTAAAGCCTTGGACAGTTTCCCAGCTGCACACATAGCAGAGAATGGCTCTCTGTCCCACAGCGCTGTGAGATGGGGAGGCTGCAGCACCAGGCAGCCTTGGTATCTGTTCTGACTTCTGTCCAAAAATTTACTGTCTGCTGGAAAGGGACTGTGCAGGATGATCTTGTGAACATTTGATCTTTTCAATGTATTTGATATTGCACTTGTACATGACATTCACATCTCCCAGTCCTATCTTCTTTTCTTTACTCAGGAGCCCTGGTGGTGTAGGGTTTATGCTTTGGGCTGCTAACCACAAGATATACAGTTTGAAATCACCCACCATGTTGGGAGGAAGAAAAAGCTTTCTAGCCCATTGAGATCGAGTCTCAGGAGCCCACAAAGGCAGAGCAACTCTATCATATCGGTGTGTTGTGTTGAGTAAGAATTGATTCAAATATTCCTTTTCTTAAACTCTGTTGTGATTATGTTGTCCCATCCGGTACATTTGGCAGCGACTTTCTTTTTATCCTTGGGATACATTTGGAACAGTGAGCTGTAAAGTGAATTAGGAGACACCCGATATGCCACTTCGCAGCTCTGTGAAAAGAAGAAAATAGCTCCATGCCCAACTTAAAGTGTCAGAGCAGTGACTTCTTAATGTCACACTTCCAGCACTATCTCCTTTATTTTCTAGGAACTCCCATAAGCCTGCTGAGCAGCAAACCCTCAGTCAGAGTGTGGGTCCAAGACAACTAGGACTAGAGCACAGGACGTCTTCCAGTCCTGCCCCTGAAAGCTGTGTGGAACATGTATTAGCATGGCACTGGGGAAGACTATGAAGAAGTTTTAGCACTGCATCGTTCATATAGTCCATGCTCACTTAGTGCTAAAGGCATTCATGACTGAGTGAAAGGGGGCCCCTTTTATTCAAATTGAATTTTACTACAGTATTAAATGAGTGAAGCACATAAAGTCAAGCATCTCAAACTTATTTATTGGCAAAAGGAATAGTTTGGCAAAGCCCAAGGCAGGCCATCTTGCCTTTTATTTCAATTGCTTGAGTCCAGATTTTTTGTATTTTTCTTCCACAACTGTGTTCTTTACTTTCAAAGAAGCAGTTTTGAATTTTATGTTATCTTGTTTCAGGTCATCAAAATAGTAGGTTTTCCTTCTCCACTTCTGCTTTTCGTTTTTTAAATAGCAAAGCTTTTCATCATAACCCCCAGGGGAAAAAATCTGGATAACACTCATAAATTTACATTACAGTGCTAAAACAGCCTTCCCTCGAAAGTATTAATATCAAAGGACTAACAAGACACAGGTAGATATCTCATTTACCCATAGAGAACAGAACAAAACAAAAGTATTAAACACTGGGTTCCCTCTAGCCCCACCCAGTCAGCCCCCACTGAGAGTGCTCACTGCCATCTTCCAACACAAAGAGCCTGCCTGCCTACACTTCACTAAGCTTGTGAGGAATTGCTGGCCAACTCCTTTATAACTGCGAATTTGCTTCTCACTTCACTTCTTCTTCCTTCAAAGCCTCTTCTTATCAGTATGGGAAGATCGTGGGTTCAGTGGACTTGATCTTGTCCCAAAACTCCGGGACTTTCATCTTGGTGGTTTCAGGTAGGCTCGGGCTCCATAGGCAAGGAGGATGAATGTTGGGCCCCTGCTGGTTTTCCAGGTGCTTTAGATTCACAAAATCCTGTGTGATGAGTTTCCTAGGTTCCCCATAGATGAAGTGCCTTTTTTCATCATAAATCCTCATCTTATTTAGGAATTCCCAGATACCCTCCTCACTGGCTCAGTTGCCCTTCATGAAGATCACACCCAGGAGAGTCATGAGAAGACCTGTTTGGGGCAAACCCTTTCCAGGGAGCATCCATTGTTAGGGAGGTCCATTTTTCTGACAAAGGCATAGGCCTGCTTGGTGCAGTCAACTTCCTTTAAGTCGATGCCAAGGACTAGCTCAATGCTGAAAGAAGCTCTCTTGAAGATCTCAGGGCAGTGGCATTTATATTTAGTGTGCACAGTCTACAACATGTCACTCTTCCTAATGGTCTTTTTTCTTTTATACATTTGAATCTGGAATTTCAATAAAATTAGCACCTTCGGGATTAAAGTATTTGTGCTGGACTGCAGACTGGCGGGTTTGCACTGGGAGGAATTTTCCCTCTTTACATATTTGCTCTTGGGATCCCCATAACCTCCTTTTCTGGACATACCTGGAGTAGTGACAGTGGATGCACTCTCCGAGGCTGTTGGAAAGTGCTCCCTTGCCTAGCGCCAGGAGTCTACTGGGTAGTATTTCCAGAAGGAGAAATGGAGGCGGAGGATAACCCTTCAGATGCTGTTTCCATGGCCTGAGGACCTCTGAGTGTCTGGGTCTCATCTTGTGCCCTCTGGTGCTTCTCAGCTGCACAGAGATTACTCTTCCTGCCTCGGGCATAATGGCTCTGATCAAGTATGGTAGCAGGAATGTGAGCTGGACAATAGGTGATGTAGGTACCCTGGAAAAGGGAGGAGCATTAGCACAATACATAGGAAGATACCATTAAGCTTTAAGAAGGTACCCTCTAAAGGTTTACTTGAATGCACTGATCTAGAAACCTACAGGGAGTCCTGCTCCCAGCTCCAGTAAGCCACCAATCGAAAGGATTCTAATGAAAGCCTGAGGAGGAGCCAGGCAGATCTATCAGCTGAAGTCCCCCTTCATTCTTATCAGAGAAGAAAGAGCCTACTCTAAGGGAAGGCTCCACAGTTCCGTAGAGGGGCTTGTCTGGTCCCCACATGGAGTGAGTCCAGACTACGCGTACAAAAGGTGTATGTGTGTGTGTGTTGGGGAGGGGTCAGAGGGCCTAGCCCCGAGGGAGTCTCTGCCCCATGTGTAAAACAGCAGGCACTTCTGTGAGGCCCCGGGCTGCACAGCCCTGAACCCCCTTCTAGGGTCTTCGCGAAGGGAGGTCTGATTGAATAGGATTCCGGGCTGCCCACAGAACCCCCAGGGTCGGATAGATTGAAGTGGTGAACCTCGGGAAGCACTCAGGGAACACTGGGTCCAAATGATTGGGGTCCCAAGAGACGCGCCCCTGTTGTCGGCCCTCGGAGGTCCCCTAACACGCGGCCCTTGGAGGACCCCCAGGTTCTTTAGCCGGAAGTGACGCTCTTCCATAGCAACGTTACCGCCCAAGAGCCGGAGAGGTGACCGTTTCTTGTTGGAGGTGCTTCTTGTCTCAAAGTAGGAGTCGGAAGTGTGCTCAGGAGGCCAGGTAAGGGCCCCAAACCTGACCCGGAGGGACCATCTATGTAATCCAGACCTCCTCTAGGCCGTTCAAAGTCCCTGCCCCACCGCCAGGTTTCCAGTCCCCAGGCCACCGCGACCTGGGACGTCTCCGGAGCTGGGTCTTCAGACCTGGTCTATAGGAGCGGCCCGGATCCTGAGGAAGGAGGCGAACCAGGGTTTCTGGGAGGTTAGAGAGGGCCCATCGTGCTTCTGAGTCAGGCGGTTCCCCACAGAGTGTAGCCAAACACAAGCCGCCCTGCTCTCTAGTCTGAAGCCCACACATAGAAGTGTGGCCCCCTGACTCGGCTCTAGTTAGCTGAGGACTTCAGTCTGGGGCCTAAAGCATCAGCCCTGGATCCAGGTGGTCTCAGGGGAGAGGAGCGTGGAAACCTACCACTCCTCGCCCGTCCCTGCCATTCCCCTAGGGATCACAGGGCAGACCTGACACACTCAGCCTAATGTTCACCCATCCTCCCCCACAGGCTTCTCAGGCACTGGGCCGACCAGATCAGGAGGCTTGTGCTTGCCTGCCAGAGGCTGAAGCTCTCACAAGCTTCCTCCCCCGTGGGTTGTGTCACCTGTCCACGCCCACTGTTTCCTGGTGCCCTTGACGACTGTCACCATGGATCGTGGTCATAAGCATAAGCGTCGTGGCCGTCGAACACGGCGCCACCGCCGTGACACCCGCCGTGCACAGGAGGAAGGGTTGCCCCTCTCCTCCTCTCCTCCTGTTGGGGAATATCTCCAGAGCTTACCTGTGGTTCCAGTTTCCCAGGGGCCCCTGGCAGCTCAGTCCTCCACCACTGCTGCTGCAGGTGATGCCTGCACAAGAGCGGCCACAGGCCAAGAGGGGGGAAGGCCAAGTTCTGGGGTCCCACCCCCCACTGACAGCGATCCCAAAGCCCTCATATCCACAATGGTGGGTGCGCTGTTACAGCTCCTGCTGGAGAAGTATAAAATGAAAGAGCCAATTGTGAAGGCAGAAATGATGAAGGTTCTAGGTAGAAATTGCAAGGAGTCCTTCCCTGAGATCGTGAAGATTACCACTGAAATGCTGGAGCTGGTGTTTTGTCTTGACCTGAAGGAAATGGACACCAACAAAGAATCCTATGTCCTCCTCCAGAAACTCCACCTCACCGAAGACGAAGAATATCTGGAGAGTGTTGGTGACACGGAGTTTCCCAGGAATGGGCTCCTGATGGCTCTCCTGGCCTTGATTTACATAAAGGGTGGCCGGGTCACTGAGGAAGAGATGTGGAAATACTTGAATATGTTGGGGGTGTATGATGGGGAGAATCACGTCTTCTTTGGGGAGCCTAGGAAGTTCATTAACAAAGATTTGATTGAGGAAAAGTACCTGGAGTGTGTGCAGGTGCCCAATAGCGATCCTCCAAGCTATGAATTCCTGTGGGGCCCCAGGGCCCTTGCTGTAATCAGCAAAATGCAAGCCCTGGAGTTTTTTGCCAAGCTCACTGATACAGTTCCCACTGACTTCCCGCTTCAGTATGAAGCAGCTTTGAGGGATCAGGAAATTCGAGCCAGAGCCAGAGTTGCAGCCATAGCTAGGGCAAGTTCTGGGCCCACATCAGGCAGCTTCTCCCACCCCTAGTCAAGTCTGAGGGAGATTATTCACTCTGTGATTCAAAAGAGAATTCAGAGTTCAAATAGTGGAAGGGGTAGGCGGAAGGCCTTGTGATAGTTTATTCTACATATGTTTTTACTTCTCACTATTGTTTCATTTTGCAAGATCCCATTTGATAGTTTTCAAATATTATTCTATCCAGTCAAATGTTCATTAACCTAGGATCTCAAATTATCACCGACTTGGAATCCACATGTATTTCTCTTTACATAAAGTATAAGAGTAATACTGTTAGTCTCTTCCTAAAGCAACTTGAAAAACTTGGAATCTTTATTTCGATGTGGCAAGGGTTCCAGAAAAATAAACCATCACTTGGGAATTGAGATTATCTTGGAAATGTGAGTGAATGCCACAATAAAATATTTGCTATGATGAATTATTCATTTCTGTCTACTTTTCTGTTTTTAAAAATTCAAAAATACTCATATCTTAAGATCAGCAGTTATTAAAAAATACAGATAAAATTAAGGAAGAAAAAATTAGATCATTGTTAGGTGGCTCCGCCAATTCCCAATTATTTAAAGAGTATTGGCTGCTTGAAATACTCTGATGTTGCAGAAGTATATCCAGCCCTATCCATATATGTTTAGCATCTAGAGGTAGCTGTCACATAAGGACTAGGATGGGAAAGCCTCTATGAATAAAGGACCAAGAAATAATAAGGGGTGGAGATCAGGGAGGTTCCAGGTGGGAGCAGTCTAGTATACACACCCTGAAGCACAGCAGTTTGAGGTGGTACCCTGCGATACCTGTAAGGGACATCATTTTCAATTAGGCTCCATGGTACAGAAAAGGTGGGCAATGAAGAGGTGGGCGTATGATGTGGAGGGGAACTAAATGTGTGAGGTGTGCAGCAGCAGACACTGCCATGTTGCGCCACAATATCCAGACCCTGACCCTGGACTCAAGGATGGTGCTTACTCTTATTTCAGTCAAACCAGGTATCGGGCAGGTAATCGGGTAGCATTGTGGGTAAACCGGGGAGAAATCCCCAGCAGGGACAGGATTGGACTTTGTCTGTGGTTTTCTCCCTGTGCACTGGAAGCCATGCTCTGACTGGGCATGTAATGCACTGCATGTCTGTGGAGAGCCTGAGAAAGAAGAAAATACCCTCTAAGGTGAGATGTCAAGAAACCAGCTCTCATACTTTGCCTTGAGCTAGGATGCGAGAGTGCAGTCCATCAAAGAACATTACAACTAGGTGCCCATGTGTATCCATCAGGAGCCCTGGTGGTGTAGTGAATTTGTGTTAGGCTGCTAATGCAAGGTCACCAGTTCAAAAGGAACAGCCTTGTCTTCATTTTTACTCTTGCACTGGCAGCCCACCAACTGCCATGCTGTTACTCTTTGAGTAGGGACTCACTCTTTCCAAGGTTCCCTGTGTCAAAAGTGCTCAAAGTTTTCATGAAAGATAATAGGAGCCGAGAGAGAGCTCCATGTTGGAAGACTCGGGAAGATACCCCAGACTACAGGAAACACACAAACAGCAGCTGGCACCTACTGTCAAATGTAGAAGGGTCCAAGCAGGGCTCCTGAGCATTCCCTCACTTTTCCTTTGGTGACCTCAAGAACCTGAGCATCTTGGCCTAAGAATAGCCCTTCAGGTAGTTGATGTATGAGTATTAGTGTCTGATAGAAATCAAGGCAACGACCTGAATGAGGATGTTGGTGGGGCCCAGCCAGAGAAGTGGGTCCCTCCCTGGCTGTCATCCCTGCCTGTCAAGGTGAGCATCCTGAAAAGGAATGAGCGACTCACTTACTGCAGAAGAGAGGAGGCTCCGGGGAGTCCTGCCCTATCCTTTCCTCTAGCCCTGGGTGGAGCAGTCAGTGACAGAATCCAAAGTTCAAAGACTCCCGTCATTTCCAGCGGTAGAGAGGGCCCCAGTGTAGTGCAGACTTGCCCAGGAACAACAGAAGGACACTAACAGGAGTCCAGGTGAGGATTCGCTGCCCTGTGAGAAAATCTCCAATTATAAGTAGCAGAGGATCACATGGAAGGCAACACAGCATTTGACCCAAAAACCACTTGCAGAATTTTTAGGCAGAAATTGTGCCCTCTTATTTCAGTCAAACCAAGTATCGGGCAGGTAAGGCTTGGATTTAACAGGATGGGGGTGGGAGTGGGGGTTCTTCAGACAGAGGAGACTTGACTGTAATGGAGTAAGATTTATGGGAGGGGAGGGGCGAAATTGTTCCCGAAATAGACTTTAGCCAGAGCACCGATCTAGCCATTACTCCAGGGAGGCCCCAGGCAGGGTCTCCAGGCTTCAATCCCTGCCATTCTATATTGCAGTGGTCTCCTCCTTAACTGGTGAGGCAGGTCTGTAATTCCTCTGATAAGTACCAGGATGTAGCACCTGAGCAAGTGTGTTAATGGATCACCACCTCCAAAAGTGTGGTTCCAAGAGTCTTGCCCCTGCTGATTGCCCTTGGAGAACCCCCAACCTCCTTGGCTCCTGGAGACCCACCGACTGCACTCTCCGGACGTGATTTTTCTGGTAGCTGCCTTTGTGGGGTCAGAATTTCAGAACTGTGAGTTCTATGAGTTGAGAAGGTTGTCTTCTGCTCCAGGAATAACAAAGTGCCACAATGGTCAGGAATCAAGGTAGACCCTGGAATCAAGGAATCAAGGGCCCTGAAGGTAGACTGGGAGCATCACTCACCCCAGAGCAAAACATCCCTGGTCTCCGCTTCCGTCGCACACCCTGGGAGAACTTAGCAAGAAGATCTGGCTTAACTTCTGTCTAGACAGTCTCCAGGGAGTTAGCATATGGACTCAGGTAGTACTGCTGCTCTTCTGAGTGCACTTTAGTCATGGGTTTACCTAGTAGTGTCTAGATGAAGGTCTTGAAAGCTGACTACTTTAAAGAAGGAGCTCCTCAAAGTTCTTTAGCTGACATTGACACTGGAAAGACCTTGGGGAGGTGAAGGTCTTAGTTGAGCTGAGCTCTCACTGTTCACCAAAGGGCATTTACCCAGGCCTTATCGGGAATTTACGTGAGAGGAGTACTTTGGGGCCTTGGGGTCTCGTTTCCTCCTGGAGGGTCCTAGGCAGTGGTGGGATTCAAATAATATAACAACCAATTTGCTTCCCCATTGACCATTTTGAGTATTAAAAAACCATAAGGATGTTACTAATAGGGAGTTTATTATTCCATACACTTAAAACTTAAGTTAGAACAATGTATTAGTCTGGGTACTTTAGAGAAACAAATCCACAGAAACTCATGTATATGAGAGAGTTTTATATAAAAGTTAAGTGTGCATCAAGAAAACATCCTAACCCAGTGCTGCCCAAGCCCACAAGTCCAACATTAACCCATTAACCCACATGTCCAACACCAATCCACAAACTCCTCTTCCATCTCACAAAACAAACGCAATGATGCCAACTGCAGGAGGAAAGCAGAGTCAGTGAGTGTGTAAGCATTTCAGCGCTGGCAGGGGTCTCCACACAGCTGCTCCAGGATCCAGGACTGCATTGGGGTAGGTCCATGCAGCTTCTCCTTGGGGATGTCTTGCAGGAAGTCAGCCTTGCAAGCTGAAGTAGGTAACTGCTAAGGCAGCTGCACCCTGGTGCGACCATCACAAAGCAAGAGACCCTAGAACTAGAAAGGCGAGCCTTAACCCTCTGCCCTTCAATTAGCCCCACATGTGTTTATCGGCCAGGTTGGCACAATAAGCTAACTGCCTCAAACAATAAAAGAGGTACACAGAACTAGATTATGAGTTTTACCATATGAATGAAAAGTATTAAATCATAACTGACAAACAAAAATGGAAAATTTTAAGATTTTTTTCATATTGCTTCTTGACTGTTATCTTCAGTTGCAGCATCCTTCGCTTTCACATGAGAACCAAGAATGATGTGATGTATCTTTAACCACATTTTCACTGTAGGAGTGGAATCCAATTCCTTTAGAGGTAGGCCCATTAGACAATCGTGATTGTGTTTGATATATTCAAAACATCTAGGCGACTTCACTGCTCTGAACGTATTATGTTCATCTTTGAAAAACAGTTTTCTGCTTCTGGTAAACTTAAAGTAATTGTTCAGACTATAATTTTTGCTCTTTGATCACTTTCAGGAATTGTACAATTAGCTCCTAATATCTTGTGGGAATTCAACATGACAGAATGCGGAAATGAATTGGCAGCGTGCCCCCCTCTGTTTGTTTGGCACTGTTCCTCTTTATCTTACATGTTTGTTTACTGAAGTGACAAGTGCAGGCAATAAAAATATATTGTTTCACCAAAAGCAAAACCAGTTTTATTAAATAATAAATTGGTATGCAGGCATTGTTGTGTCTCATTCTTTACTCCTATGGACAGAAAGAACATTGGTATGTGCTTAGAATGGACTGTTTTGAAGATGAATGTTAAAAAGGAGTAAGGAATGTAAATTTGTGATTTCCACACTGGGCAGCCATCCACCTTACAGAGAATGCGGATTACAAGTGTCATTTTCGCAACCGGTTCACCAAACTCAACCAAAAATTACCTCCCAGTTCTGCCAATCCTGTCCTTACTGGCTAAATCCCACTGCCTGTCTTAGGGTTGTGGTACCTTGGTTTAATGGACCAGCACCTCTTCTACAGAATGAGGAGACACAAGGCCTAACAGGAGTTACAGGGAAGCCTGTGTGGAAGGACTGAGGTTAACACCCAGCAGAGAAATGGAGAAGCAACTGGCAGTCCCTGCATGTGGTCCTTGGGGACTCGGGGATGGAAGTCAGGCATCTGTGAACTCTCCTTTTTCTTTTGGATGTCAGCAGGTTGTTTAGAGCCCTGATGTGTGAGCAGGAGCTTCAGATCAGCAGAGGCAGGTGTGCCAGGCCATCACTGAAGCCTGAAGCCCTCAATCCCACTTAGAATCAAACTGAGGGCTCTGAATGAGCACTGGCCTCTCCAAGGAAGCCCAGACCAAAAAGCCCAATTGAACCATCAACACTGAGGGCTCACTGATAG